TTAGCAATTTTTCTATTAAGCTGTGCCAATTCATGATATGACAAGTAGACCACCTAGAATTTTAATCTGATATGACAACCATGATCAATGCATGAGTTTTCTTGCTTCTCCATGCAATGGCAAAGAATCATCGAAAAGCTAATAGTTGTCTGACATATATAGATTTATTTAACATACGAAACATCAAAACATTTTAAACTTGATAATTAAATAACGTGATCTTAAATGATATTTCCTTCTAAATAGTCAAACAATTTTTTTTTTAGAATATTCTGTAAATAACTATCCATACTCCCTCCATAAATTCACTTTGAAAAACAAAACATACAGAAAATAAACAAAAAAATCATATCTAAAAACATCAAAAGTAATAAAAATATCTTTATTGAGTTCAAAAAGTTTTTTTTTAAAAAGATTCTCTTCGCTTTGCTTTTTGTGTATATTTCTTTGGAATAAAGTAAGTATTAGTAGTTATTGTTATATTACCAAAAAATCTGGTTTCAAGCCAAAAATATCTTCTCATGTTTTTTTTTTTTTTTTTAAAAAAAGAACATAATGGCTATATTTCAAATCTATCTAAAGTTACCGTAGTTTTTATCATACATTAAATTATGCCCATTCAATTTAAATTCAATGGTTTAGATTTAATACAAAACACAAGAAAAAAGAATATGAGAGAATTTAAATTTCAAAAATTCTATTACTTTGTTGATTACTCTCTCTATCCCATCTGAGATTGTCTTTTTTGACTTTCTACACGTTATTAATTTTTATATCATGTGAGCATATTTTATTTATATTTTTAAAAAATATATATTTTTTAATTATACTTGGATACTCTTTTTCAAAAAGGATATTAATTATTGATATTTTAGTAAAATAAACCGCTTAAAGTCTTTATGAGACAAATATTTTAAAATAAATATAAATAGAAAATTACACAATAGAGTATTTATAAATGGGATATAGAATGTAGTATTTATAAATGAGATCTAAATGACTCAAGAGACTTGGTTTGAATGGAACAGTTTTAGTTAATTAAGAAAGTTATCTGGATTTTGAGTTTTTATAGATACGAGAAAAATTATTAGGTAGTTATGCTCACTTTATATAATCGATCGAATAATGAATGATTAGTCCGGATATTTAGACTTGAGATATCTTAGAAATGCAAAGAAAAAAAACAATACAAATGAGTGAATATGCATTCTAAACGCATTAATCCATCTATTTAAGGAAACACGATATTTATGGAGCTTCTATTGTTGGAAGTGTACACAGCAAGAAAGAATGCAAGCATTGTCATGTATTTAAAGAAAGTCAATATTTATAGCGGTTTTATTATTTGAAATCTATATAATTGAAGAGAATGCAAATTGTTTCCTTTCTCTCGTGATCTTCGTTGAGTGATTTGATTTATTTATTTATTTTTTATTCAGTCTAAGATCTTCTAATTGGAGTTACCTTGTCCGCTTTTCTCCCCTCTGGACCCCAAGCAAAAAAAAAGTTACGCTTTTTTTTTTTTTTAATTTTTTTTATGACTTGGCTGGAAGATAAACCATTGCGCTTCTCATCTCGAATCTATCGGATTCACTTATTCAAGGATATTGTTTGTCTTTATATATATATATATATATATATATATATATATATATATATATATCTTTCAAAATTTTAAATGATATATATTTTTAAAGTATTTTTAATTAAAGTTTATTTTGTAAATAAATATTTAAATACAATTTTTTTTAAATATGAACTAAAGTTTCTGAAATGACATAAAATTAACAAATTTTTTTTATTTGTGTCAAAAATCAAATAAAATAATTTTTTAAGTACCAAACAGAATTCTTTAAATTGATTTAAACCACAAGTCAAGTTTCAACTTGTCAAAATCTCAGAGAGTCTACGTAGAAAATGATCAAACCATCGATAAATTGGCTTCTAATTCAATGGACCGGGCCGGAGCTTTCTTTTGATAAAGACATTATAAAAAAACTATAATATTCATTTTACTATTTCAGACATTATTTACACACTCATAAATCATTATTTATACATTCACAAATCACTATTTATTTCACTATTTATGTCATTTTTTTAACACTTTGGTTTTCAAATTTTTTTAACTTTTTTTTTTGAATTTCAAACTTTAATTATATTGTGATTTGGTCCCATTTTGTTTTAGTATTTTTTATTAATTATTTTTATTATTTAAAATTTACTATTTTTTAAATTCCTTTTTTTTTCAATTTCAAACTTTAATTATATTGTGATTTGATCCCATTTTATTTTAGTGTTTTTTGTTAATTATTTTTATTTTTTAAAATTTACTACTTTAATTTATCATTTTTTTAAATTCTCATTCAATTAATTTAAAATTATATCTATTGACGAGTTTTGATTTATTTTTCTATATGTATGGATTTTGGAATAATTTTTTAGAACATGATTATTTTTTCTTTTGAAAAATAGATTTAGTTCATTTTTAAATTTTAGTGGCATGATTAATATATATAATTTGTCTAAAATACATTTTCAGATTAAAAGTATATTTCAAATATTTTTTTCTTAGTTTTTTATATTATTTAAAATTTACTACATTAATTTATCATTTTTTAATTTCTCTCTTTTTTTTTCTCAATTTCAAACTTTGATTATATTGTGATTTTGTCCCATTTTGTTTTAGTATTTTTTTGTTAACTATTTTTATTATTTAAAATGTACTACTTTAATTTGTTATTTTTTTTAAAACTCTCATCTAATTAATTTAAAATTATATTTACTGACAATTTTGATTTATTTTTCTATATGTATGGATTTTGAAATAATTTTTTAGAACATGATTATTTTTTTTTTTGAAAAATAGCTTTACATACTTTTTAAATCATAGTGGCATATATATATATATGTATATATATATATATATATATATATATATATAATTTGTTTGAAATACATTAGATTAAAAGTGTTTTTCAAATAAACTTTTCTTAATTTTTTTATTATTTAAAATTTACTACATTAATTTGTCTTTTTTTTAAAAAAAAACTCTCTCTCTCTCTCTCTCTCTCTCTCTCTCTCTCTCTTAATTTCAAACTTTTGTTATATTATGATTTCATCCCATTTTGTTTTAGTATTTTTTGTTAATTATTTTTATTATTTAAAATTTACTACTTTATGTCATTTTTTTAAATTCTCATTTAATTAATTTAAAATTATATTTACTAACATTATTTATTTATTTTTCTATATGTATGGATTTTGGAATAAATTTTTGAAACATAATTATTTTTTCTTTTGAAAAATAGATTTAGATAACTTTTAAATTATAGTGGCATGATTAATAAATATAATTTTTCTAAAATACATTTTTAGATTAAAAGTGTATTTCAAATAATTTTTTCTTGATTTTTTTAGAACAAAACTCAAATTAATTAATTAATAGTTGAAAGTCAAATGTGAACAATAAAAGAAGATGGTTGCTCTGTGCGTGAGGCTTATATTCAAGGACTAGCCATACATAACATAGAAATAAAAAAATGTTTAAAAAGGAGGAAAAAAAAGAAAAGAAAAAGAATTCACATGTTTTATTAATTTGTTTCTTCTTTATATAATCAAAATTATTTGAAATCAGATTTGTAATAATTTTTATTTTAGTCTATTAACTTCAAATTTAGTCAATATATTTTTTTCAAGTTAATTTTTTATAGTATTTTTTATTTTAGAATAAAAACTCTAAACTTGCTTAGTATAGTTAACTTTTTTAGAAATCAATTGTGCAACTACTACTACATTAAGCATTTACTATTTATTTATTTTTTTGAATATTTTAAAATTAACTTATTTTAAATTAAATAATTAAAATAATATTTTGGCTTAACCACTCAATGATTCAAATTAATATAGTTTTTTTATTTTAATATATTCATTCTTTTGTAAATAAATATATAAAAATTAAATTCATATTTTTTCAAAAATCGATATTCTCATCAACATTAAATAAAAAAAATATTTGTTCAATAATATGTAAGCTTTTAATAATTGTTATTTATTTTTTTCGACACAATCTTATTAAATACTAAAAAAAAAATTTAAAATTTTTTTTTAATTTTCTTTTTAGTTAATGATCCATGGATTAATAAGGATGAATCCTCTTTCTAGAAGAAAAATTATGAAAAACATAAATAAAAAATAGTTAAATACAAAATTTTTGATTCAATGATTTTTTACATCTTTGATTTCATATATTTTTATAGATTCACACCATAAAACGGACAATCAAATCGAAATAATTTTTTTAAATAATTTTATATATTTTATTTAACTCTGTAGCGTAACGTGGGAAAAAAACTAATGGATACTAAAAAAAGGATAGCTTCCTTGCGGTTTTTTTTTTTTTTGTCCCGCCTTGATAGAGGTATATACCTTTTATTACAACAGGTAACGAAAATTTAAAAAACAATAAAGAATAAACTTTATAGTAACTTTTTTAAATATTATTGATTAAATTGGGTAACTAGAAAAAAAAAGTTTCAATAAAAAAATAAATTTAAAAGGTTGTTTTTCAGAACTTTCATGACACGAGCAGAGATTCAATCGAATGATTATTAGCTTATGTAGCCAATAAAATTACCAATGGGTAAAGAAAATATCTCTAGTGTTTAGAGTATTCACCGCTCTGTATTATCTGGGAAAAATGAAAAGATAAAAGATTGCCAAATCTTACGCTGTTTAAAGGATCAATGCTTTCTTTCCTAGACGAGTTTAACTTTTTTACTTTTTCGGCTCTATAAATTTAGCCACAGCACAACATAAATAAAAAATCAAATACACGTGTGTATTAAACGCGCTTGATTCAGCGCGTAGGATAAGGCCCAATCCACACATTCCAACAAGAAAAATCCCACTCCTCTCATCGTCATCATCAGAAATCAGACATCACCCCGTGGCTTATAGCCCCCTCCCTTCTGTGCGCCCCTTCACTCCAATTCCCGCTAATGGAGAAACTGTTGCTGATCCTTTTTGCAACAGTAATCTCTCTTTTCATTTCCACATATGCCGCAGGAAATTTCAATTTCGACGAAGCCAGTCTCCGTCGCCGATCACCGGACGAGACTTTGTGTAATCAGCTCATTGAACCTGCCGGCTATTCTTGCACCGAACACACTGTACCCCTCTCTCTCCTCTCTAAGTTCTTAATTTTGGAGGAGTTGAGTCGTTTTAACCTTTGAAATGCCGTTCTGGACTGAATTGATTGTTAAAGATAGGCACAATGTTGAAGCTATTTACAAAAAATGCCATGAGGTGCATGTTTGGTTTGGCGAGAAAGTAGATGCGGGGAATGAGTAAAATTAGTAATTGATTTTGGAGAGTCGTTACTTTTTCTACTTAGTAAATATAAATTTTTGGATTTATTTACTTTTTGTACTTTAGTTGTGAAGCTGCCAAACAAAGCCTTAATCTTGATTTGCTTTCTTTCTTTCTTTCTTTCTTTAGAAATCTTTAATGGATTCTTCTAAATGCAAGAAAATGCAGTATGCGAAATGAGTGAAATTCTGTTACTGTTTCGTTGTCTTTGTTAATTATAGGCTTAAATTTTTAATTAAAGAAAGATAGTTACGTTTTGTGTGGAATCCATCAAATTATTTAACTTTGTTCAGGTACAAACTAAAGATGGTTACTTGGTAGCTCTTCAACGCGTGTCATCTTATAACAAGGATCTAAGAGGGCAGAGGGGTCCTCCTGTTTTGCTTCAACATGGACTCTTTATGGTGAATATGCTCTCCATTCTTCTTATGTGCCCTTTTGCATTGATGAAAATTGATATTGGATGCTTGCTTGAATCTAATTTTTATTAATGGGGTATGGGTTCTCAGTTATTTGTAATAAAAACAGAGCGAGGGAATTGGGGTAAAAAAAGGTTATAAGCAAACTATCTTTATGAGATTTTAGTGATGAGACAAAATGGTATGTGATAATGGACACGAAAGAAAAGTGGATTAGCGTTCATATTAAAGATAGTCTGTTTAACAACATAGGATAATCTGCTGTTTTCCTGAAGTTTAGAGGCATCCTTGAATATGTCGAGACAAAAGTCCCCCGTGTAAAGCATTGGAAGCGTGGTACTGTAGGCTAAGACTTGTTCAATTGTCTGTATGTCATCAAGGAAAGTGAGCATGGAAAAGGTTTTTTTTTTTTTTTTTTCAAACTTTTCAGAACACTGGTTGTGGTTTAAATTGGTCTAGTATATGGGAATAATGGTCTGTTGATAATTGCAAGAATTGTAAAAAGTTAGTTTTTGGTCTCCGGTTGTTCCTTGAAGTTGTTTCTGATCTACCTGGGCTTGTAATCTGTAAAGGGTTTAATGAGTGAAAAGGAAGTCTCTGATTGTGTGTGTTGATAACAGTCTCAGGTTGCATCTGATCAGAAGTTCTCACTTTCCCTAAATGAAAGGGTTGGAAGTGACACTGGTTAGATGTCAAAGTAGGGTTATGCTTGTGCACTTAGAAGTCCCAATAAGCTTGCATATCTATTCTTAAAAGAAAGTCGCTGTATCAAAATGCGGAACCTTGGAATTCTAGGGCTCTCTTTCTTTTTTGATTATGTTTATGATATGATTTTTTTACTAGTGCTGCTCAAACCACCTTGTCAGTTGCAGGGTGAAAACAAAGTGCTCAAAAACGAACTTGTGACCTAATGTCGTTTAAAGAACCAACATGCTTGGCTGTTGGTACTTGGGATAATATTTTACTGTGATTTACCTTAAAAAAAAAAAAAAAAGTAAAATGTAATTTCTGGCATTGATTTTGATGTTGCCCCCTGTTTCTAAAATGCAAACAGGCAGGTGATGCATGGTTTTTAGGTTCTCCAGAGCAGTCATTGGGCTTCATCCTTGCAGACGAGGGTTTTGATGTATGGGTTGGCAATGTGCGTGGTACATTTTGGAGTCATGGGCATATATCCTTATCTGAGAAAGACAAGGTAGAGAGTATAGAATATGCCCATCTCCCCCGGTTTATGATTCTAGTTACTTTGTTGACAGTTGTACTTATAGCAAAGAGTCGGTCCATTGATTCAAAAAGCATCTAAATATCTCCCTGTCCATCTATGTTTTGGTTGGTGATTTATTACATATCCTGTTTTTTCATACTGTAACTATCAGTAAGCATGTGCTTCTCTTTCAGGAATTTTGGGACTGGAGTTGGGAGGAGTTGGCTCTATTTGATCTTGCTGAAATGATACACCATGTATATTCAGTAACAAGCTCCAAAGTTCTCATCGTTGGACATTCACAGGTCTTACCCCTCTTCCCCTGCGTCATGGTACATTTAGTTTTCAATCCTTGCTTTTGTGTATGCACTTACTTTATTTATTTGTTTTTAGGGGACCATCATGTCTTTTGCTGCTCTCATTCAGCCAAATGTAGTTGAAATGGTCGAAGCTGCTGCTCTACTGTGTCCGATATCATACTTGGACCATCTAACTGCTTCTCTTGTGCTCAGAATGGTTGGCTTACATCTTGACCAGGTTTGCTTTGTTTCATATTATTGGGATTGTATTGGAGACGCAGTTCCTGGTGGAAAATGATCTTACAATTTCTTTTCTGACAGGTGGTTCTTGCCATGGGCATTCATCAATTGAATTTTAGAAGGTTTTATTATACTTCCATCTCTACTTTTTGTTTTTGCTATCTTCTCCTAGGTTTTAGCAATTTTATTTTTGTTCCTTTTATAATGTCTTCTATTTATCTACAGTGAAATCTTAATTGACCTTCTGGATTCCATATGTGATGGTCGTATAGAATGCACTGACTTGCTAACATCCATAACAGGTCTTCCCTCTAGTCTCTTGTGGAATGATGTTTAACGTACTAATGATCATGTTTGCTGGGCAATTTTTTGTTACTTTGTAGCAGTTTGCATCATGCTTGTGGATGAAGTACACCCCAGTGTGGCTATTTGTGCAACATAATGCTTTTCTTTTCTTTCTAAAATGGGTGTTTCTTTACCTTTGCAGGGAAGAATTGTTGCTTTAATAACTCGAATGTGGACTTCTTTTTTGAATTTGAACCTCACCCATCATCGGCAAAAAACTTGCGCCATCTCTTTCAGAGTATGCCTTATGCACCTTCTTTATCTGTCATAGATGCAGTTCATGTGAATAAATTTTGTACTTGGAAATTGTTTTTTTTTATTTGTTTTGTCACCCTCATGTTTAATTACTTTGTTTTTTCCTCTTTCTCTTTCGGTAACCAAAAAAAAAAAAAATAGAGCTTTACTGTTTGCAAAATCTCTCATGTGCTTTCTGCTGTGCATGGCAGTGATTCGTAAGGGAACTTTCTCCCACTATGACTACGGGATGTTTAAAAATCTGAAGCTATATGGTCGGTTGAATCCCCCAGCATTTGATCTTAGTCTCATACCTAAGACATTGCCATTATGGATGGGCTATGGAGGCAGTGATTCTTTAGCAGATGTGACAGATGTGGAGCATACTCTGAAGCAGTTGCAGGGCAAACCAGCGTTACTTTATCTAGAGAACTATGGTCACATAGACTTCCTTTTGAGCACGCGAGGAAAGGAAGATGTTTACAACAATATGATTGGATTTTTCAGGTCGTTGGGGAAGTCTAGTAGTTCTTAAGTTGACCGCTCGCAATAAGTTACAGTTACATTTATCAATGAAGAATAGTACTTTTTTTTTGTGCATTTATTGTAAAGGTCACATATTATATCCTTCTTGTAAATTTGATTGCCAATAGTGAATATTAGAAAGAAAATTCGATGTAACATTCCATCCTGTGTGGTTATGTACAGAGTTTCTGATGGAAGCTGGTTTTCCACTTCATTTTAGTGGGCTCTTAACCATCTCTTTTTTAGGATGACGATGAAGTTTCCTTGAGAGAAGTCGCAGACGTCAAGAGCCAAAAGGATACATTCCATCCTGTGTGGTTATGTACAGAGTTTCTGATGGAAGCTGGTTTTCCACTTCATTTTAGTGGGCTCTTAACCATCTCTTTTTTAGGATGACGATGAAGTCTCCTCGAGAGAAGTCGCAGACGTCAAGAGCCAAAAGGTCCAAATAGTGGCCTGAGCGTGGAGACGATGTGATAAAGGAACTAGTTACGGTGTTGTGCACAGTGGTGTATGATTCCTTTTCTTTGTTTGAATTGCTCCTGAAATATACGTTCTATCTGTCCAAATGGAGTTTCAAGTGAGGCTAACAGAAGGTGGATCGTATGTGCTATCCCCGGTACTCATGTTTGTTGGAAAAAAAAAAAAAAAAAAAAGAGCAGCAGTACTCAAGTTGATCAACATTTGCTTTTATGGTGCGGTCCATTTAACAGCATCTGTAAATCTGTAATAGCCTCGTAAAAAGCATCTTTAGGCCTTTGGGTTTTGTTCCTACTGAGGTGTTATCAAAAGGTCACCTTGAATTATGTTCTTATGGAAATGGTCTCCTCGATTTAGAGCGTTTCTTCCATCTTCATCCTTAATTAAAAGGTTGGATGTGATGCAACCTCTGCCTTGAACAGAACTTCTGCGCGAGCCAAAGCAGTAGTCTCTAAATGTCAAAAATATTGTTTTTTTTTTTTTTATATGAAATAATGAATGTCCATCATCATATTTATCTACGTTTCATATCTCCATTATTTATGATTCTTAATATGATTTAATTCATCATTCAATAAAAGAAATTGAAAGGGTGATTCAATTGATTATTCATAGTCCATTTCAATTCTCTCCTCAATTTTAAAACCTATAAATAAGCTTGATTGTTCATTAGTTGGTGTATAAGTTTTCTAAAGAAAATAAAAGAAATTTTGAAGTTCTTATCACTTGTATTCACATTATAGTGATTTCATTTTCTTGTCATCTTTTTCTTCAACTCTCCTATTGCTTCTATTTATTTTATAACATCTTTTTACTTTTCATACAGCTTTTAAAAAATTATTAATTGTTATATTATATCATTATTTTTTTTATATATTTTTTTATATATTTTTTTAATTAAAATTGTTAGTATCGCATTTAATATTGTATTGCATGAAACTAATGTTAATTTAAAGAGAATATCTATCTAAAATTAATGAGGTAAATAAAAAAAATCATTAAGTTAATTAATGATCAAGTTTAAAACAATTATGAAAAAAATAACATATCAATAGAAATAAGTTACTCTCAAAATTTTGGCAAACAATAAAGTTCCTGTAAGAATGAATATCTTTTCATGTGAAAAAAAAAATTCATTTGAAATTTTTATGTTAAATGTGTTTGTATGTATAAGGAAAAAATATAAGGATATTGATTTTTTGTTAGTGGAGAATAGGAAATGGAAAAAAAAAGATTCTTTATTAATTAAGGATATTTAAGAAAAATATATTATTTAAATTTTTGATTAAATAAATATTTTAGACAAATATAAATAGAAAAAAAAGACAATCTCTTTAGGATAGAAAAAATAATTTCTTTCACTCTATAAATAGAGTGTTTATTTTATTATTTAGATATCTCAGAATGTATATCTATTATAAAAGTGACAAAAAATTAAACACTAAATTTTATACTTTATTTTAAAAATCATTCATATATTTTTATTTAATTAAATTTAATTTAAAGGATAATACAATAAACAAGAGTTAATCATAATTTTAGTTTATCAAATTGTCAATTTTTCTAATCAAATTTTTTCTCTTTAATTGTTTTTTGTTTGAATAATTTAAATTGTAATTTTTTTTTCTAATCAAGAATCACCGTTAAGTTTCCGTCAATTTTTCTTTTTTGTTATTTGCATAAGTGACCCGTCCATGGAACATGTTTTCCACACAAAAATAATGTGGCAACCACGTGGCTCATACATGGCTGTCACGTGTAAATGGCCTGGAAAATTAAAAAAACAAAACTTTCCCGTTTTATGCATAAGTCTCGATCTTCTTTTCCTCATTTCTCTTCTCCGAAGATGAGGCTGTTGGCTTCTCTCTTCCTCTTACTACGACGAGTCTGTTGGTGGCCTGAGTAAGAGTGGGTCTAGTTTGGAAGGGGAGATCGACTAGCGTTAGGAGTGGGTTGCGTTTGAATGGTGGTTGATGAAGGCTGGCAGTGAGAGGAATGATGTTTCGGCTGATAGATCGGCATGGGAATGAGTTTCAGCGGTGTTTTATGGCTTTAGGAGTGGGCGACTTTCATGGTAGTGAGTGGGATGTTGAGACTCAACATTGTTTTGTGGAGGAGCGACAGTTGGTTTCGACGAGGTAGATGGTGGCTGGCGTTGCAAGTGGATTTCGGGTGAGAAAGAGAGGGAAAAGAGGTGTTCGAGTCAACGGATTCGGGTTGACTGGTGGAAGAGATGGGGCGGCTTTGGTCGAGTTTTGATGGAGATGGCAGTTGGAGAGGTCCGCGATGGCTGGTAGTTCGGGACTGTTGTGGTCGGCTCCGGAGTAGATCGTAGTGGTGGTTGAAGGGTTGATTGGACGGCAGGGATGGTCGGAGGGAAAATTTTATAATATACGAAGAGTAATTAGTGTTATTTATTTTTATTTTGAGAAAAAAAGATAGATATATATTAAAAAATTATATTTATATTTATTAAAAATAATAATAATAATTTTATTTCTGTTTATTTTTTTATTTTTTATTTTATTTTATATCTTTCTTTCTAAGGTGAATTTAAAGAATAATTATTATATATATTATTAATTATTTTTCGTGTATTATAAAATATTTCTTATGGTTTGAAGGTTGCAGGTCTTGGTTTTTAGAAGGAGGGGTTGACGACGATTTTTTTTTTAATTTTTCAGGTTATTTACACGTGGCTACCATATCGCCACGTGAAAAATGGACCATAGGTATAAATAACGAAAAAAAATTGATAGAAACTTAGTGGAAACACTTGTTAGAACAAAATTATACTTTGATTATTCAAACAACAAAAATTAAATTAAACAGAACACATGAAAGCTTGATAAACTAAAACTGTGATTAAATTAATAAAGGGAGTTGACACAATATTTAAAGCATTTTTTTAATCTACTAAAAAATTCAATAGTACTCTTTTTATGTAAAAAAAGAGGAAGCAGATGAGTGCATAACATGTGTCACTTACCATCTCATTATTCTAACACTGAGTTAAAACAGTACCCCGTTAACTTCATAACGAGTCTGGATGATGGCACCAGCCCCGCCACTTTTTAACTGGATTTCACCTCCGCGAACTGGCAACCCAGCTGGAGAACTACTGGACTTGTCAGCGACCTGGAGAGACTTCTTCGCTTCACTTCATCAACAAAAGATTGTATATTACTGTCGGAGGAACCACCCTCAGCCACTGCTGCCTCAGCTGCCTTCTTCCACTTCAATGCATTCTGCTTAATCTCCACAGCCGTAGGTCCCACCGTGGCCTCGAACAAGCATTTCTGTATCTCATCACGAGCAATCACTGTGTTCTCTGTTTCTCCGCGGCTTATTCTCACGCCAACCTTAAAGATGTCGACCAAATATTTAGCATTAGTGACTTGATCACCCCATTGAGGGAAAGCGATCACCGGGATGCCTGCTGTGAGTGTTTCCATTGAAGAGTTCCACCCACAATGTGTAATAAAACAAGCAATTGATGGGTGAGCTAAAACCTTCTCTTGAGGACTCCATTGCACCACTTTGCCCTTATCTCCTGCTTTCTCCAAGAATCCTTCCGGCAAAACAAGTAGTTCAAAGCCTGAACCTTCACGGGGTGGTTTCATGACCCACAAGAATGAAACACCGGAGTTCAGTAATCCATACGCAATCTCTTCCCATTGGTCTTGCTTCAAGTGTGCGTAACTGCCGAAAGAGATGTAAACAACTGATGAGGGTGGCTTTGTGTCAAGCCATTCTATGCAATCATCTGTCTTCATGAGGTCGCCACGGATAGTTGAATCTGGTGCTTTAGGATTTCTGAATAGTGGCCCAACAGTCTTGATTGGACTGATTTTGGACATGTTCTCAATGATCTCTGATTCGAGCTCTTCAAATGTATCCATCAAGATGCAAAAGGGCTTCTCAAGATTTTTGTACTGCTCTGAAAAAGCCCTCCTCAAGAAAGAATAACGAGTTGTAGGATGTAAGAAGCTAGGCACTTCATCATATTTCAAGAGAGGCATACTTGGTAATTCAACTTCTATCTCCGGTTGTTCCTCATCAGGGAACGGCAGACCATTATAGTAATGGTAATAGATGGCAAAACAAGCGCAAGATTGGATCCAAAGCATTGCAGATGGGAGACCGAGACTTGTAGCCACATCAGAAATCCAAGGGACGAAAGGATTGTTGATGAGGCAAGAAACAGGTCGGCCTTGCTCTGCGTTGTTCTTGACCATTTGAGGAATTACTTGTTTTCCCACAACCCCAAGTTGAGCTAAGTATTGGTCAGGGATTTGGCGCCTGGGGTCATCCTGGTCCCAACCATCTTGAAAGAATTCAAACCGGATAAAGCCATGTCCAACCGGTGCCAGTTCATCTGTAATGTCGTTGGCCTTTCTCATCAGTTTGCCAAAGTTTTCAGTAGTGGAGAAGGTGACAAGCAAGCCTTTAGAGGCAAGACGTTTGCCAAGTCTAAGCAAAGAGCTTATATGGCTTTGGTTTGGGAAAGAAACAAGTAAGACATGAACAAGAGACTTGGATTCCATTTTCTCGCTTCTGTATTTGTGGATAGGGAGAGAGACAAAATAAGAAGAGTGAGAGAAGATTGTCGGTACAATGAGAGGAAAGAGTTTTGGGATTGGGTCGAGGAGCACGGAATGGGATTAGCTGGGCTGCGAATATGTGGAGTACCGTTAGCAGTTTAAATACTATTCTTTTTTATCCGAACAGCATAGAGACTTCCTTCCAGCTACCAGATGTGAATTAATTAATGTTTCTAGCATTTTTTTTCTTTTCTCACGTTCTGAGGATTGTTACTTTCTCTTGGTGGTTGGGGAAGCGTGCGTTTTATTAAAAAAATTGCCTTTACAAATCATTTTGCAGCTAATTATCTTGGTTTAAAAGTGGTAAATGATTCGGTCAATAAATTCTCGGTTGAGTGATAAATGAGTGAATTTCAAATAAATTTTTTTTTATTATATAAAATTTAAATCTTAAAATCATACTGATTGAAAAAAATTATTAAAAATTGATCGAAGGTTAAGAGATAATTTTTAAAAATAAAATTGCTTAAAGGGTGATTTTTTTCTTAAATAAAAAATAGGATTTTTTAAAAAAATTTTGAAAATCAATTATGAAACATTATTATTTTTTAAATAATAAAAAATACAACAATATCAAATAAGTCCAACACATGCGCGCGCGCGCATATATATATATATATATGCGCGCGCTGCACGATTCAGTTTTATTATGTCACTGATATACTCATATAAACTCCCCAACTGAAGTAAAAAGGTGATTCTGAGTATCTTAGTTGGTAAATTATTTCAGCACCGGCCAACTAATATTCTTTCAAAATTTTAAAAATTGAATCTCTTCAATATACGTACAGCAAAATGAGAGGAATTAGGAGAAGATAAAACTTCGCTTTTCTAACTCGTGAAGCAAGCAAAGTTTTCCTTTTAAAACTACCCTCGTCTCAGGATTCGATTTGTTCGGTTGACCTTGTAGTAAAAAAAAAAAAAAAAAAGGATGTACAAAAAGGAGGATTGGTTTTATTACCTATTTTAAAGTTGCTTCATGGCTCTGCTGCTGCTGCTCCTCTTCCTCAATTTGTTCCTTTCAAGAAACCCTAGAAGAAAGAGAAATGGTCTTATTTGAGGATCCGCAGATGGATAAATAAAACGTAATGTTTTTATGGGCTGTTTCATCGTGAAGCCAAACCTCAAATAGACACTGTCTGGTATTCTACAATCATTTTATTGAAATTAGAAAAGAGAGTTGGACAAGATGGGAAGATTTGATTGGAAAAAAACTAATAAATCAAGGATGGTAAAAGTACTATTTAATTTTGTTTTGATAATATAAGGGCTGATAAATCATTTTCTATAAAGTACAGTAACTTAAGTTATAATTGAAGGTAAATGTGTAATTCTAATTATGTGAGGAGCAATATATAAATTCCTAAAATGCAAGGCTTCTTATGATAATTTTTGAAGTTGAAATATGAAAATTCAAAACGTGGCAAGAAAAGTCGTATGTACCAACAATAATTCAGTGCGGGAGCATCGGTGCGGTAAAAGTGCAATGATTGAAGCTTGGGCTTGAACGCCATCGTTTCAGCTTCAGGCCGTTGCGGGTTCATACAACCGAATCCATTCTTTACGTGAATCATCTGAAACCGTGAGTTTTTATGATTTTTGTTTTCCATTAAGCTTATATATTAGTGATGATTAGCTTCAAAAATTAATGCGCCTACGCTAATGAAATTCTGCTCCCATTATTCTCCAGGGAAAAAAAAAATCAGCTCGATCCCTGTAGTAATTTGTCTTCATCGACTTATGATTCCTTGATTATCTAACTAAATTATTCTAAAAAAATAATCTATCCAATTCCAAAAATCATTGGCAACAGCTCAAAAGAAAAGAAAAATGAAAATTTATTCATAAAAAAAAAAGACTTCATTATCAAGGATTCGTGCAATGATAAGTACTAGCTCCCACCTAATACAAGAAAAATTTAACATCTAAAAGCATCTCCAATGCTCTCTTTATATTAAGATTTTTTTTATAATAAAGAGGTTTGACTCAAATTTCATTTTCACTGCTCTCTTTATCACGATCTCTATCTTTAAAATTAAAATAAAGAGTATCTTTGGCTCTCAAATACTAAAAAGTTCAAATAATTATTTATTTTATATTTCATTAATGAAAATTACTATTTCTTATGTCATTCAACCTCTTTATCAATAGTCTTTCTGATTTTTATGAATTTTGTCAAAATAAAGAGTTAAAGTAGAGAGTAGTATTAGAGAGAATATTAATCTTCAATTTATATAATTAATTATGCTCTCTGTTTATATTAAAAATACTAACTAAAAATAGAGAGCAAATATGCTGAAATCATGACTTTATCATTATTATTGAGTATATATATTAATAAACGGGTTATTGACATGGGCTGATATGCTTCTTAAAACCCAAGTTTCAAATCTAAAGTTTCATTTTTTATTTTATTTAATTAACATGCATGCCAATCACTTCTTTAAATTGTAATATTACGTATAGCTGGCAATCCAAAATTTAATCGATAAAAAAATTTAAGTCGCATGTGACAGCTAGATAGCCCTCGGTATCGAGTGTTTTCAACTCTCTTCATCAAGTAATGAATTCAATATTTAATTATTGATTAAAAAAAAATTATAACAAATAAAAATTGTAATCGTGCAAGAAAGTTCCGGGACAATTGACTTGAGTTTCAGATTCGATAAAAAAATGTTATGGGATGGGGCCAGCAATTTTTTTTTTTTAATACCCAGCTAGGATTACTCAGATCCGTAAAATCAAGAATTTTTGAGCTTTATTCTTCGCTAGTGAACATGGTGGGACATGATGAAATGTTTGAAAAGGATCAGAACGTCTAGTTTTTAATCTGGGTAGATCATTGTAAGAAAATTCGCAAGTTTAAGCAAAATTTTGGAAGATTTCAAAACCTTAAAAGGGTATAAATATATTAAAAATCAATTTAATTTAAAAATTTAAATTATTAAATGAGATTTTAAAGTATAGTTTTATATTATGTTTTAAGATATACTTTAATACTTATTTAAATTATTTAAATGAAAGCTTTTTAAAAAAACTTAAGTTGTCATATAAATTTTGAAATATATGATTTTTTTTCTCTACAGACAAACTCTTAGATTCGTCCTTTCCGCTGGAATAATAAGTTTTTTTTCTCTTTCTCATCTTGGGTATCAAGAAATACAGAGTACACAATGAAGTATATATAGATTGTCTTTTTTCATTTTGTCCATAGATTATGAACGTTATTAATTCTTATGTTATATTTATCTTTTATTCTTATTTTTTAAAATATATTTTTATAAAGTCGTCTTTTACAATATATATATTTCATTTCAAATTTTGGTCAAAAAGATAGATAATTTTTTTTTGAAATTCACAAAGAAATACTTTTTGTAAAAATTGTTGCAACTGTAGCAGATTGCCGATCAAATCTTTGGAGATCTTAAAAAAGGGCTACAAAATAATCACACTTAAAGACCTATTCAGCTTGTCAAAAAGTAAGTTATGAATTAATTCTTTTCGTTTCAACAAAAAAATTAATTAATCTTTCTTATTTTAAAAAATTAATTATTTAATTATTTATATTTTAATTTTATTAAGAATTTAGTTATCTCATTAGTTTTTCGGATTAGTTAAAAAAAATTTAAATTACCTTTTATTTTTCCTCCACTTTCTTCCTCTTTTCAATTAAAAAAAATAATAATAGTAAAAATCATTAATTTAATAAAAAATTGATAAAATAATTAAGTTATTAACAAAATTAAAATTAAAAGATATAATACTAAATAAACAATACTAATTTATAATTTATTCGATGGTCAAGTACACGCGTACTTATTCAGTTATCCAACAACAAAAAAGAAAAAGGCACACATATTTAGAACAATCAAACGCCTCCAGTCCTCCACGTACACAGAAAACGCAAATAAAAAAAGAAAAACTAAAGAAGAGGCCATAAACTTAAATAATTGTTTATTTACGATGGGTCTGGCTATTGAATGCAAAAGGACAGTTTTCGGTAGCATTTAATACGATAATTATATAGTATTCATTATATCATTAGGATTTTTTAATTTTAAAAATTATTGATCCATTCGCAAACCAAAATTTCCAAGCATGGAAACATTGAATGCTATTTTCTATTTTCAAATACACATAAGAAGTTTTCCAACAGGCACTTTTCGGTCTGGCTAGCTAAAGTCATTTATGATTCGAACTTTTAAATCTTACGAATTCAGTTATCAGCATTTTTTACTAATCTCGAGCCCACAAAAATAAAACTACAAATGGCATAAACGTGGAGATACAAAACCCCTTTTATATCTTTAAACAATGAGTTAGATGATGATGAAAAGCCAGTTTAGAAATCTTCGGTTGGGCTTTACATCTCTTGATTCAACGATCTAAATATATTAAAAATAGAAAATGCTGTATCTAATGTTTTGTATAATTTAAAAATTTCTGACCAGAATTTCTTATTTATTTTAATGGCACGTTGATATTTTTTTTAGACAAGATCCGAAAATCCAGACTGAATTTTCTTCTTTAATAGAATACTCATTTTAAAAGCAAGCTAAGACTTCTAAGGCGGATAATGGACTCAAATCACTCCAACACTAAGAGATCTGACAAGAATACAAGAGAAAATATATTTATGAAAACTAAGAAATTATCCCATGGTATAAATGGGTGATTAAGAAGTCACGCTATTGGGTAAAAAAAAAACATAAGAATGAAATGAGAATAGAAGTTTCATTTTATTTGAAAAGTATTTGGTTAAAAAAAATGTAAAAGAATGAAAAAATCCAATTGAACTGGACCTAGTTGAAAGAAAAGAAGGCATTGATTTTGATTTTCCATAAAGAGACTTGAGACGTATATATATTAAGACTTTTATTTAAGAGCTAATTCGAAGCAGCAAAAGGTAGATGACTGCATTACAAGCTGTAATTTCATCATTCTAACACTGGGTTAAAGCCGTTCTATATTCGTTGGATTTTACCTGTTCCACAACTTTCTCATGCCGATTACTCCAGTACCAGTTCCACAACTTGCTCGTTGGACTTTACCCCCACAAACTCTACAACCTCATTAGAACTAACAGACTTGGTAGCAATCTCAATACTTATTCGCTTTACAGCATCAACAAAAGATTGTACATTCCTGTCGGAGGAACCACCCTCAGCCACTGCTGCCTCGGCTGCCTTCTTCCACTTTAGTGCATTCTGCTTCATCTCCAACACCTTAGGTCCCACTGTGGCCTCCAACAAGCATTTCTCTATCTCATCTCGAGTAATAAGTTCGTTTTCTGCTTCTCCGCGGCACAATCTCACACCAACCTTGAAGATGTCGACCAAATATTTCGCATTAGTTACTTGATCACCCCATTGAGGGAAAGCCACTACTGGAATCCCTGATGTGAGTGCTTCCATAGAAGAGTTCCACCCACAGTGCGTTACAAAGCATGCAACTGATGGATGAGCTAAAACTTCCTCTTGGGGACTCCATCGCACCAATTTGCAATTGTAACCTGCTTTCTCCAAGAACCCATCTGGCAGGACAACGAGGTCATGCCCTGCATCTTTGTGGCGTGGTTTCATAACCAACAAGAAGGAGACACCAGAGTTCAATAACCCATAAGCGATCTCGTTCCATTGGTCTTGCTTCAAGGATACGACACTGCCAAAAGACACATAAACAACTGATGAAGGTGGCTTTGTGTCGAGCCATTCGATGCAGTCATCTGCCTTCAGGAGGTCCCCATGGACGGTTGTTTTTGGTGCCCTAGGATTTCTAAATAGTGGACCAACGGTCTTGATGGGGAAGATTTCGGACATGTGCTTGATAAGCTCTGATTCAAGCTCTTCGAATGTTTCCATCAGGATGGAAATTGGCTTGTCAAGATTTTTGTACTGTCCTAAAATAGCCTTCGTCAAGAAAGGATAAGAAGTTGCAGGGTGTAAGAAGCTAGGAACTTCATCATATTTTAAGAGAGGCATACATGGCAATTGAACATCTATGTCAGGGTGTTCCTTATCAGGGAAAGGTACAGTACCATGATAGTAATGGTAATATGCAGCAAAACAAGAGCAAGATTGGACCCAAAGCATTGCAGAAGGGAGACCAAGACTTTCAGCCACATCTGTAACCCAAGGAATGAAAGGGTTGTTTATGAGGCAAGAAACAGGGCGCCCTTGCTCTGCATTTTTCATGATCATTCGAGGAATTGCTTGTTTGCCAACAAGCTCAAGTTGAAGTAAGTATTGGTCAGGGTCTAATTGGCGCCTAGGCTCATCCTCGTCCCATCCATCTTCAAAGAATTCAAACCGGATAAAGCCATCTCCTAACGGGGTCGCCTCATCTGTGATGTCACTGGCCTTTCTCATCTGTTTGCCAGTGGCTTCGGTAGTGGAGAAGGTGACAAGCAAACCTTTGGAGGCAAGAAGTTTGCCAAGTCTAAGTAAAGGGTTTACATGGCCTTGGGCAGGGAAAGAAACAAGGAAGATATGATCAAGAGACTTGGATACCATTTTTGTCTTCTGGGTTTTTTCAAGATGCAGAGGCACAAAAGAAGAGAATGAGAAGACTGATGTACAAGAGAAGAGGACTGTTATGAATTTAGGAATTAGTGATGAGCATGAAATGAAAGGATGCAAAAAAATATTTTTTAATAAAGCCTACGTATCCTGCGTTGTTTTAAATTTATAAGTCATAATTAAAAATTTAGAATTGTTGGACTTTAATGATAGACTAGACTCACATGTAATCAATAAAAATACATCATTAAATTAAAAACAGTCTCTAATCTAGTCATTTAAATATTAAATTAGGTCTTTTATCATCTTTCAACACATAAAAATTTTAATTTGAATAATTATTTAAACATTTACTCAATTATGACAAAAAATATATATTTTATTAATTTTCACTGCACTTATATCCAATAGCATTTCTAAACTTAATTAATATCTGATTTGAGTGTTCCTTCGTTTTTTCGCTGTCTAATTGAGAAGGGATATTCTGTTCCTGATTGAGTTCAAAGTTGCTTTTTGACCAATGCTATCGCTATCAATTATTTGGCTGTATATGGTGTCGAATTTATTCACGGAAACTAATTTATATTTTCCTTGCAATTTGTTCAGCCGTTATAAGTATTTAGGCCGACTCAATAATACAATATTTGTATTTTTCGGAGACAAATTCATTCTAAAATATTCTGAACTCGTGATCAAACAAAGTTAGTGGTATTCATTTTTCTCTTTTTCTTTTTTCGGTATTTCCAGCACCGTTTTCATCTGTGTTTCTGCGGACTGTGATGGGTGGTTTGAAGTTAAAACATGATGAGCAAAAAACGATTGGGGGTATTAAAGGCATTTTCTTGTTGTGAATAAAATGCTGGTGAAATTTGTAATATTCGTCCCTTGGATATATCTTTTTAATTCGGTGGTATCCTTTCATAATCTCTTGCCTTCTGTGCTTGCACATGAAATGTTAGCTGCGGAAATCAAAATACATTAGCAGCCATTACTGTATTACATAATCTGAGAAGAGTAGCTTTGTTGTTTGGTACGGATGCTAGTGTACTGTAGCAAATCTTAAGTATGTGGTTCTTTGTCAGGCGATTGAGCAGCTGTCTTGGATGACATGTGGCATGCACCCCAGAATGTGGTGCGGTTCTGGCTCTCTTTCAGCCAAAATCCTCTCGGGAGGCACTAGACATGGAATCTTTCCTAATGTTAAAAGTACAAAGATGGATGATTTGGGTTTCGATTAAGTTAATTAATTATTGCAAAACAGGAAGAGAATGACGAATGAGATGTCAGTTTTTATTTTCTTTTCTTTTTAATTAAGATTTAAGATGTTTTTGGTCATTTTATTTTTTTTAAAAAGAGGATATTATGTGTCGTTAATTTATTCAATCATTAAATCGTGTACAATAATATAATCAAAATTTAACCAGGAAAAAATTGGACTCGATTGTTGATAAAATAAAGTTTAATATTTAAATTTAAAAAATTAAAAATTGGATATAAATCTTTATTTGACCAAAAATTGAAAATACTTTAAAATCAATTAGCGTTGTTTGAAGTTTTAGCCAAGCAACTTCGGATTGCACCCAAGAGGGGCAACGATCACAATCTAATTTTCTAATTTTAGTTGGACAATAAAGTCCGAGTAATTAAGTTCGAGTGATGTCATAAAAGTTTACGCTAAAATAATTATCGCTCAGGGTAAGTAGTTCAATTCAATAACTTTTTAATTAAGATATGGGTAGTAAATCAAATGCAGTTCAATTTGTGTTAGTGTTTTTTTTTTTTTTTTCATCGAAAGATTTTGAGTTCGTTTTTTTTTATAACAAAAAAAAAAATCTAGATACCCATACTAGACTGTTTTGACCTCTATGCTGGCTAAATGCTTTAAATATTTTTTCAAAAAAGTTTTAACATAATAACTAAACATCCAACACAAATCACATGATTTTTTAGTTTCATTATTTTCACTATAATATGCTTTTAATTGTCAAGATATTTTATAAGTTTCGTCTGTAAAAGATATAAGAAATATTTTTTAATGTAATCTATATATCATATCTTGTTTTTTTAAATCTATAAGTGATAATTAAATATTCAAAACTTATTCCATTTTAATAAAAAGCTAGTCACAGTCATAATAGATAAACGTATAAAATTAAGTAAAAAATAATATTTAGTCTCACTATATAAATGTTGAGTTAAGCCTTGTTGTCATGTGATACTCACATAAAATAAAGTATAGACATAAACTAGAAGAATTTTGCTTTTTTATGGTATTAGTTTTTTCAGTACATTTACTTTAACATTTACTCAAATAAAAAGTATGCATTTTATTAATTTTTACAGTGCTTATATGTTTAGGAATATTTAATTTATTTTTATGTAGCATGGAGCCACCTTTTATTATATTAATTAGTGCATAATTTACTTATTTTTAATTAATTACATTCGGTCTATTAAACGGGTGATCTAGTTGGCTAATATTGAAAAAAGGGCGATTTATTAAGGTATTGATTTGACGATCATGCCTACAATCATTACTCTCTCTCTCTCTCTCTCTTCATAAATTAATTAAAACATGTCTTTTTAATTCCACGGTCTGTTGCCGCCTAGTCATAAAACACATTAGGGTTGTTTGAAGTTGCAGAGGGTTTATAATGGAATGAAATATAACGGAATGGTATGGAATGAAATAAACAGTTATGTATTAAAACCCTTGTTCGAAATGAAAGAAATAGTTTATAATGACATTGTCGACAACGTTGTTTGGGAAAACAATGGAGTTGTCCGTTAATAATAAAAGATGACAAATTTACCCTTCCATATCTCTTTTATCAATAAACAAATTTGAAATGAACAGTTAAATAGTTATTAAACTAGTATATTATACTTTTATCCATATTAGTACTATTTTTTATTGTCTAAATATTAAAGTAATGTATATTTAGACAAAAATGAAATGACCATAGGTTGAAATGTAAAGAAAAAAAGAGAAATTATGAAGAGTCCACGTATTATAATACTCTTGGTACAATAGCTTAGTCACACCCCTCTTTTGCAAAAGACCATCCGCATAACCATATTCTTACGATAGCTGAAAAGAGCACTTAACACGACTCGCAACTTAGTTAGGTTCTCAATCGAAAAAGATACACAATATCTAAACGAGCTTTTTTAACACTTATCTCCATCTAAATAGATGTAAACATAAAACATCCTCTTTTGTAACCGAAAGTCATTGTCCCACCTTCACAAACTCGGATGTTGATTTCGGAATAGCTTCGACAACTATATCAAAGCTTTCTCCGATGAACTCAAGTTCATTCTCATTAGGGCTTACTTTATTCTTTCCTTTCTTACTTTTTGATAAAGAAGCATATTGAGAATGAGATTGAGTTCTCATATTACAATCATTGGTATTAGCCACATTTGGTCGTCATCTTCATATTACCATCCTCGATCGAAACAACATTATTTTGCCTTATTTCATTAGCAATTTCAACATGCTCACCTGTTGCTCTATCTTGACCATACATCTCTACCATTTTCTCATAATTGTAAATATGCTTATCCATCCAATCCAAAGCTTCTAGTTTAACCTATTAAAAAAAAAACTCACATGTTTTATAAATAAATAAATATCTCACATGTTTTATAGATAAACAAAAACATCATATATTTAAGAGATAAATATGGAATCACTTTAATTAGGCTCTTTTAAACTTCGAGTTCGAGCAATCCACATACTTGTAAAAGGATTCCATGCAAATCCACTACCACCATTTGAGAACTCATCATAGCATTTAGCCCATTTGTTCTTAATAAGTTTCTTGTGGTTCTTAATCTTCTCCTTATCAATCCCTTTTCTTGAAAACTTTTCTTTCAACTCAGCTTCGATTTCATCAAGAGCATTGCTTGTAAATGTGCCACTAAATCTATTTCCTTGGCGATGTTGATGCAAGTATTCATCAATCAAAGCATCATCCATAGCTTGAGTCTAAAAACATGCCCTCTCTCCACCTTTTCTCGCAACATTCTTTGGTGGAAGTCTTTTCTTGGTGGCATTTTGAATGCAATATAAAATATGTGAATATAAAAAAAAGATGAAAAAAAAACAAAAAGTGAAACCATGAAATAATTCACTCAAAAACCATCATATCAATAATAAAACAAAAAAAAACTCGTCAACAAGTTGAAAATACATGAAGAAATAGAACAAGCATTGTCAAACCATTAAAAGAGAAAACATTATTCAATTAAAACAAATGACATTAATTTGTGTTATAATCGCCCACATTTGGGAAACAATTGAATCTCTAATCATTCCTCCTCTATGTGCATTCTCATCATCTATTTGTTATTCATCTTCATCGTGGTCGACGTCTTTAAGTTCATCCTCAAATTCATTTAGTAAATCATTACTTGGATCCGTACCAATTAAATAATTGTGCAAAATAACACAAACTATGATAATCTTTTTTTGTGTCTAAATACCATAAGATGGTTCAGTTGTTGTTGCTATAATAGGAAACCATTTTTTTAACACACCAAATGCTCTCTTTATAACATTACGTAAAGAGTAATGTCGATGGTTGAATAATTCATGTGGATTTCGTGGAAAATTCCTTGAATACTCTTTTAAGTGATAACGCTCTCCTCTATAAGGTGTTATAAGCTCACTCTTCAACATGAATCCAACATCAACAAGATAGTATTTTCCCTATAATGGATAAAATCACATTAAATTATTATGGAACATTTGAATTAAAAAATTTTGATCGCTAGTAATATAAGTTTTAATCATTTAGTTTACCCGGGAGAATTTTAAGTGGATATCGTCTAGATAAGGCATTTTTCATTATTCTTGAATTTGATGTTGTCCCTTCCTACCCAGTTAAGACATAAGTGAATTTTAAATCAAAGGAACAAGTAGCTAACACGTTTTGGGTTGGATAATCATTTCTATCACGAATTCCGAAAGCATCCCAATTCAATAT